AAGGGGTTCATATCTTCAATCCGATTTCTTGAAGGGAACCCAGAACTCACAGGTCTTCAATTGAAACGGGCCATCGCCGATATGTTCCCACCCGCCTCACTTTTCCGACAGGAGATTTGCGACATCCCTGCAGTTCTAATAGAACTTCGGAACTTCCTTGATAGTCGAGGTGGAAATTTGCAACAGCACTCGTCTCACAGGGTCGTCATGACTTTGGCGCACGGCCTTTACGAATAGGCCGAAGACACACAAGCAGCGATTGAGATGGCGCGTGAAATCGTCGCTGCTGGTCGCCGACCTCGATCAACTGCTTCACGCTCAAACAGGAGAGAAGAAACGCAGCCAGCTTCTCAGGTGACAACACCGACCTCCACAAACAACACCTCAGCAGAAAAAGTTGCACATAATGTAGCTATGAGGCTTAAGGACAGGGACAAAAAGTTTTCTGGAGACTTAGGTGACTCTTGGATGGAGTACGTCGACGACTATATGCAGCTTTGTCGTGACTACTCCCTATCCCCTTCCCAGAAACTGCAGTATCTTCATAACCTGCTACAGGGTGACGCAAAAAGATACTACCTGGATAAGGTAGATGGATATGCCACCACTTTCCAACAGGCCATTCAAATGCTAGAAAGCGAATACAACTCTGCAGTGCGACAGAGTAGGGTCAAGAACTACTTAGGCTCCCTTCGTGTAACTTCTTTTGCCTCCCAGGGTACCGAAATGTCTGATGCCCTTGCGAAAGTGTACAAATCTATCATAAAGCTTTCAAGGCAGGCCCCGAGATCTCACCAGGGGGACGCACACAAGGTGGAATTCCTGCGGAACGCTGTCGTCGGGACTCCTTGGTCAAACGAACCATTGAGTAGAGTCGCAACACACCAACTGACATTCCAGCAGCTTTATGCAGAGCTAGAAGCAGCTCTTCAGTTGCACAAAGAATCTAAGCTGGCCATGCTACGAGACCGTGCTCAACTAGGGCGAAGAACACTCCCTGAAGATGATTCTGCAAGGATCATGTACGCCGGGCAAGGCCGTTACTATCACGGTACGGCTCCTTCTCATCTCGGTAAGGCTCGGAAGTCATACAAACCATCTTCAATCCCCAGAGGGACAGAAGCAAAGCCTGCCCGGACGGGACAGTTCGACCCCCTCTCAGTTTCTGGATGCTTCAATTGTGGCGGCAATCATCTTGTAAAGGACTGTACTCTGCCGTTGAATACATCTCGAGCAGCCGCACGGAAGATGGACTACTACTCGAAGAAGGCAAACACAAAAACCATCGCGGTGCATCACGTTCTAGCAGATCTATGCCAACAACTGGACTGCACACGAACTGATGATCCTGACGAAGAAATCGAGTGTAACGACGTAAGCATATTCGAGAGTATCCTTGGACAAGAAAGTCCAGTACCGGAAGTCGAGTCCGAGGATGAGGGGACCCCCTCATACCCGGACGAACACACAACTCATGTCTACGTCACTAGAAAGACTTGCAGCATACCATCGCTGGACCTCTTCCAGGGCGTCTGCATCGATTCTGCCGCTCAGAAGTCGGTGATAGGAGCTGCGCAAGCAAAAGCGTACTGCAGCTTATTCGACATCCCTTTCCAACCCTCTGACCGCAAGACAAGGAACGTGTTCAGCTTCGGGACTCATAAACATCCTGGTCTTGGGATTTTGGACATTCGAGTACCAGTCAGCCCAACCCATTTCCTCCCCCTCTCTGTGGATGTGGTTGATACCAACGTACCATTCCTTCTCGGCCTCGATTACATGGAACGGTATAGAATGGTAATTGACACAGATAAGTGTGTTCTCTCATCAAGACTCCAGGGGTGGACTGTCCCACTAAAGAAGAAACTGGGGCACTTGTACTACGAGTGGGGTCCACAAATTCTCTTTACCGAAACCGAATTGATGAAAGTACACAAGCACTTTCACCACCCAGATTCTGAAAGGCTCTACGCGGTCATGAAAAGGTCGGACCCCGGGAAAACCTCCCCTCAGGTTCTGAACGACCTGAAGCGCATCACTGCAGCGTGTGACCTTTGTCAAAGACTGTCACATGCCCCACATCGATTCCGGGTCGCACTCCCAGACGGAGAAGTGGTTTTCAATAAGACCGTATGCCTGGACCTCATGTACCTCGACAATGCCGCAGTCCTGCACGTGGTAGACAAAGACACAAAGTTTTCTGCGGCCTCATTCCTTCCCAAGGAAACTGCTGATGACACTTGGAACACTTTCATGCGCATATGGGTCTGTATATATATTGGGTTCCCAGACATAATGGCAACCGATCAGGGACCCCAATTTACGTCCAATAGATGGCTCAACCTAGTCAATCTAGCCGGGATCACACACCACCCTTCCGGTGTACAGAGCCACAACGCATTGGGCGTTGGTGAGCGGTATCACTCCTTTTTGAGAGGTATCTACCGCAAGACACGGCAGCAATTCCCGCAACTCGAGAATGACCACATTCTTGCACTCTCCGTCAAGGCCATGAACGATACAGCTGGGTATCACGGCCTGGTCCCCACTCTCCTCGTTTTCGGGGCCATGCCGCGGATTCCAGTGACCCCTACCGACCTTCCGGCTCAGGTGGATCGAATGAAGGCTATGGCATTGGCTAGGAAAGAAATGACCAAAGTCATCGCAAAAGAAAGAGTCACCAGGGCTTTGCGCATGAATGTCCCGGCTGCTGCTCTTACGGATATACCAATCGGCTCCCGCGTCCTGGTGTTCAGGGAGAAGCCTGAGAACAAGTGGGTTGGTCCGTACACGGTCGTGGGGGTAAAGGATAAGAGTGTTTTTATTGATCTGAACGGCACTAACAAGCAAGTGTCTATCGACAAAGTGAAAGTGTACAACACTCCCGCATCCTTCGTACCCATTCTATCCACTCGTGAACCAAGGAATGAAGCTGTGCCGGGGCCCACAGAGTTGCACATGGAACCTACAACAGTACCTCAAGGCGACGTGCTGAACGATTTAGAATCAATACTGAGCAGGATCCGTGCGAACCCTGGAACTCCTTCATGGAAACCGGGACCTTTGAGAGGTCCCTTCCCTTCTTTGGAACTCGCTGCACCGATTGACACAACAACCAACTCCCACATTCTTATGACCCAAATCATCGAACAAGGGGATGTAAGAGCAAAATCTGGTGAATTCGCCAAAGCCATGAGAACAGAAGTTCTCGGTCTTGAGAAAAGGAACACATGGAAGATTGTACCCAAGGAATCTCTTCCTTCTAACCCAAATATTTTGGGAGGACGTTTTGTGCTGGCTCTTAAGAATGCAGGCACGGATAATGAGCTTTCTAAAGCCCGTTACGTAGCACAGGGTCACCGGGACAAAGACAAATCGTACATGGTCCACAACATTACGAACTTGCGACAAAGTTCGACGAGAATAATAATCTCTGTGGCGGCGATCAAAGCATTTCGCATCTTCTCACACGATGTAGCGCAGGCATACCTGCAAAGTGAGGAGAAACTCACCCGTAAGGTATTTCTACTCCCCAAAAGGAAGGACATGGAGCACTTTGGAATCACCGAGGAAGAAATTCTAGAACTTCTCAGGCCAATCTACGGTATGACGGACGCGGGCGACTACTGGGGGGTCACCGTCGACCATCACGCCAAAGATGATCTTGGCCTAGTGCCTCTGCTAGGGGATCCGTCTTTGTACATCAAACGTAACAACGAGGATGTGGACGGACTCTTGGGTATGTGTGTCGATGACGGATGCTTAGCAGGAAATGAGGTAATGCAGGAACTTACGAAGTTAACTCTCCACAAATTTGAATCGAGGCCACGAGAATGGGACAAATTTGACTTCTTCGGAACAAATATCTCAACAGAGCGAAGCAGCCATTTTACAATATCACAGAAGGCCTATATTGGAAGACTAAAGCCACTGCCGCTGGATGCATCATTTGAACGCTTCAGATCCTACCGCGCCACACTGGCTTGGGTTGGGTACACGAGACCTGACGCATTATGTGCTATCAACAAAGCTGCACAGGTTACACCTAGTACTTTCGGAGTGGAAAAGATCAAGGCCTTCAACAGTACCATCAAACGTCTCCAAAAGATGCCGGAGAGATGCCTTAAATATGCCCCACTGAACAAGTCCACGCTACATCTGAGAGTATACACAGACGCTTCCTTCGCCGGAAATGACGATTTGTCCTCACAGCTTGGGTTCATCATTCTCCTTTGCGATAAAACAAACCGGTCACATGTTCTGGATTACTCAAGCAGAAAGTCTAAGCGAGTAGTCAGATCCATTCTTGGTGGAGAGGTGTACGCTTTCGCCGACGGATTCGACAGAGCGTACATATTACGACATGACCTTCAAATGATATTCAAGAAGAGAATCCCACTTCATATGTTCACGGATTCGCTACAAATGTTCGACGTCATCACCAAGGGTTCTTCAACGACAGAGAAAAGGCTGATGATTGACATAGCATCCTCGAGACAATGCTATAACCGAGAAGAAATATCTCATGTCGGGCTTGTCTCCTCCGAAAACAACGTAGCCGATGGTTTGACAAAAGAACATCCCAACGAAGCCTTGGAAAAGCTCCTAGATACGGGTTACGACCACAATACTGTCCGAAAATGGATTGTCAGGACTCCGGCAAGTTCTACTTCTGGAAAAATGGCAGTGTGAAAGTTTCTATCATAATGTCTGTCATATGGCGATATACCTCACCACGTGAATGGGTCACGGGGTGAGGAAAGAACTTGCCGTGTTTAGGGTTACAGTAAATTAGTATATAACGGACAATCCCATGCGACTAGCGCGTGGGTCTGCCCGGAGGCAGATTTGAACAGACGTGTCTACGCAGAATCCTTCACGAACAGCGCTCCGATTGCCCGGAGGTTCGGTTGGGTTTGAAGAGCCGGTCGTAGGTTCTTCTAGACATTAATAAACTGTTTAAACTATTTCCTTCAAACTTTTCCTGGGACAATTCCCACATGGGTCGGGGAATTTTTTGGGGAATTTTTTGGTTGATTGGATCACGGGCGCACGGCCATCGCCAGCCCGCACGTGGCATGGCAAACCTGAAGGTACAGTAAGAGAGGGGAGAGCCCGCTGTCAGATCGCACATTTCAGATTACATTACAGTGCCAAAAGTGCATATATGTAGACGTAGATACGACGACGAGGGAGTAATCCGACTCATGGGTCTCCCGTTCTAACACCCGCCACCCTTCGAAGGGTACTTGCCTCGAAGGGAACGATTGCTTCCTCGTTTCGAAGTTCGACCAGTCTCGAGACTCCCCGCACGAAACCCCCTGCTCATGCCAGCCGCGTCGGCGCCGCGCCCAATGGCGCCCTCCGATCCCGCCCACAAAATTTTAGATCTCCTCAAACTCTTCACGGATGGTACGACCGTGCTTGGCCCGGATGTTGATCTATCTGACTCCGCCTCCGTCGCTCGCTTCCTTGCTCACATCGATACCTCCCCTGCCGCGAAATCCCTCCTCCAATCTCTCGGGCCCAACACCGCTTTCGGTTCCTTCGTCCACCTGCTCGCTAAGCTCTCCGGCCAGGCCCTCGACGCCCCTCTCTCTTCCTCCCCCGATCCAGCGGTCGCTCCCGTTGCTTCGTCACCGTACCTCCGTGCCGCCTCCGCCACTCTTCCGCCCCCGAAACCTCTGTCGCGACTCCTGGCAGTTAGTTACTCTCCAACCGCCCCGCACCCTCGCCGCGACAACCTCCCACGTCTCTCGCGCAAATTGCAAGCGGATCTTCGGTATGTCAGTCGAGACATGTTCGGCTACGACAAGAAACGCTTTGCTCGTGTGTCTACCACTGATAAGCGACCCTTCGTCAACCCCCAAGCGTTCCGCACCGCCTTTAACAAGACCAGCCTTCATGCTCCCTGCTCTATTATTCCTACCCTCGATAAGGACACTATCCTCGTTTGCGCACAGCACAATGACCTGCTGCGTATTGCCCGCCATTGGTAAGCCTATCGAAAGAGCTTTACCGATCTCTCCCTCCCTCCTCCGATCACCGTCTCCGCTCCCTTCGATCTCGACGCATCCCGTTCCTTGAGCGCTATCCATAAAATCTACACAACACAACACTAAAGTGTACACAGAACTATAATGGAGGTGGTTGCCATAGGGTTTGGTCGAAAGTCGAAGCATTAAGCTATTTCTGCGGAGGACGCAAGGCAGGCGAGTTGCACGGGGTCAAAACGCAGCCGACGAAAGCGAAAGCGTGACGTCATCCATTGGCCAGTGCGCATGAATGCACTACCCTTGGTACAGCAGTAATACCTTGTTGCCTTTGTGGGATCGAGTCGATCGCTGCTACCGACTTCTGCCAGGCGCGTGAGATCTCCCCTGCGTACTCGATGTACATCGGTGACTCGAATGCCGTACTGCATCGCAGTTCCGTGTGGAACAATATGAGCGGAGCATGTCCGTTTGTAATGGAGTTGAAGTGAAGAGAAGCATAACTTTTGATGCACTGCAAGTTATCCCCTCCCATAGGAAGGAACACGGCTCCGAGTTTCTTGTTTCAACAGAGGCAGGTGCAACTCTGCTGAAACTCGTGTTACACGTTTCCGCAGAAAACTGTACCCTCACTGTATCCTCGCTGTTACTGTATTTCATGGAGGTGCAAGTAACATTCCTTCCACGTCCTTGTTCCCGCTACACGTGCTCTCTCTCTCCCACATCTCCGCCCCCTGTCCGCCCCCCGCGCCGCCTCGCCACTCCCACCAGCACCTGCTCCTTCTCCGCGAGCGCCCTCGTCCGCTGCACCAGTCGCTCGTTTTCGCATCCCTCGCATCTACGCCTTCTTCCGCGCCTCCCGCACCTTCCTCTTCTCTCGGCTCCGCCTCGCCGCCTCGCCCCCGCTCCGTTCCGCGCTGCGCTCGCCCTCCGCACCGCCACACGCGCCGCTTTCCCCGATTTCGCTGCCTTATTCACCTTTGCCGCCGCCCCTTCATCTTTGCCCGCTAGACCCGCCGCCGCCGGCCCGGTCCGTGTCCCACCATCAGAGCCGTCCCCGCCGCCCTCGCCCGCCGCCGCGTCCCGCCCGACAATTGAAAGGACATCGCTGTCTCTCAGCAGTCAGGTGCGCTTTTGCCTTTTGTGCTTACGACCTACTCCACGACGATGCCCGCCCGCGGATGTCACAGACATCGTCGCGCCGAGCACGGATGGGCCTTCGGGCTCGTTGTCGGCCGTCGTCGTCGAGCTCGACTTCAACAACGGCGGGCTGATGGACCTGTGGCTGGTGTGCATCAACTCGCACTTGGTGACGCCGGGCGGCCCGTTTGACGTGGCCAGCACGGAAGAAGTGTCCGGCACGAAAGGTATGTTGCGCGTGAATAGGCTAAAGCTGTATTTCCCTGATGGGGGAATGGCGAACATTGATGCGGTGGATTTCAACGTAGGCGCGGCGTCCAAGATGGGTTGGGTCAGGGTCATGTGGACATCAGGGGTGTGCGAGGTGTGGAATGATGAGCAAGTGGACAGGATGGTGTCGTATCGGACGTTACAAGGCTGTGGTGGACACTAGTAGTGTCGTGTTAGGGTTTCGTGTCGGGGTGTCGAAAAAAGATGGTGCAGTAAAGTTTATACGGGCGAGGGAGCGCGGGAGAAGAAGGCGGCGGTGGGGATTTGCTGAGGCGTCGACGCGACCGTGTGTCAGTCTCGGCGAAGAAGTCGCAAGGCCTGTCCCGCTGCGCTTCCAGACTGGGCGCGAGAGGTGTGCCGTTTTTCACGGATTTGTACACTTACTGTACGTGTATGTGCGCCAAAGAAGGAAGCATACCTAGTATGTGGGGATGCGAAGAACACCGGTCCAGGGCCATCGGCGCTTTCTCCCGAGTCTCGTTTCTGATCTTTATTTTGGAAAGTGGGTCTCGTGCCCTATTGGCCACGTCGTATTGAAGGTCAGTGATTTATTTGTCTCTGGATGCAACCACAAAGCAGAGGGAGCTGCTCGCTGCTCGCACGAGCAGAACGATACAGGACGTGAGCAAGTCGAGGATTGGCTGTCGAAGATTGGCTGTCGAGGATTGGCTGTCGAGGATTGGCTGTCGAGGATTGGCTGTCGAGGATTGGCTGTCGAGGGTTGGCTATCGTCCGCGGCTCTCGCTTTGTCATAAAGTACCACTCGAAGGATATTGTTGCACACATCATAAGTTGGACCGCGGGGGCAACCCCCCGAGATTATTATTACAGTTCTGATTGCCTTGACGCAGCCGAGGTAAATCTCCAGTCAAGTAAGTTCACATCTCTCCAGACAAGAGCTACCGTAAAGCCGAGATTCATGTGTTTCTTTCGGCGGGCATGCAGCACTGCGTCACACAGCTTCCCGGCAAGGCTGCATCCACACTTGAGCAACAAACAGCATTCAACCATCTCAACATAACCTGATGGGCAATCCTGTACAGGAGGACAGAGTACTGTACAGTACCGTTACTGTAAATCTATTGCTCTGACTGGGAATGTTGCCTGCGTAGGCAATTTTTGATGTGTAGGCATACGGTATCTCGCTTTGCTCGCTTTGCTCGCTTTATAGGCAGTTGTTTCTAATTTTATCTTTTTGCGGGCAGAGTACGGTAAGTCTATTGCTCCGACTGGAATTATTGCCTGCGTAGGCAACTTTTGATGTGTAGGCAGGCGCATACGGTATCGCGCTTTGCCGACGTAGGCAACTTTTGATGTGTAAATTTAGGCATACTTTCGCAGCGTAAAGTTTGCAGTATTTTATGAGAATTGCCTCTACAGCACGGATCGTACTTGTATGTGATATAATTTTTGCCCGTTCTAGATCCCGCCACTCCTGCACTTCCACACTCTGCACTGTACATACTGTACATACAGTAGTATAATAATGAATTTGTATACAATTTGTTTGTACAGTAGCATGTGTACTGTACCTTCGAAGGTACAATGATATTGTACTGTACGGGAGCTCCCGTATACTGTACAGCAAACCCTGCCTACGGTACCGTTACGGTACTGTATCTGAATCCCTTGTAAGTGAAAATCGAGTATGTACAGTACGTATTCGTGGTCACACGGGGCAAGAGGGCCGATATCTCTGATATCATATCAGCTCGAGGGCGCAGGGAAGGCCCAAGAGTCGCTTCCCCCACCCGCCCCCTACTCATTGAAATGAAGGGCAGGGGGCGGGTGGGGGGAAGCGACACAACAGTAACTTTAATTTAAAGCGGTAAAGCGGTGCAGTTTGCATCCAAAATCTCAGGAGGTAGAATTTTAATGGGAGCGAGATCGTTGCATGCTTCAATAATGCGATAGCACATCTCGGACCATGCGCCCTACCCTCCGCTTCGAGGCGCTTGTCCAGCCCTCGACCTGATATCCGCCCTCTTGCCCCGTGTCACAACGCAGACGTATCTGACCGTAACTTATGCTTGCTACAGTACTGTACACTACCCTTTGGTACCGTTCTGCGTCATGGCCATACAGTGTGCTTTCCTGCGGTAAACCGCTACTTGCGTTTTGCAGATGACCATCCTTAGGGAATGCTAGCGCCCACATACAGTATCAAGGATCGACCAGATACAGTACAGTACACCGTTGCAACACGGCGGTTATATTTCCAGTGTGTCGGAAAGCTCCTTCGACCTTTTCGCCTAGTCATTGACTACGCCAGTGGGCCTTCGGGCATCCTACGCCAATTCTATTGGCGGAGCATGAGTTGATGAGAACAAAAGCGCACACGGTCGGACGGGAGAGCTCTGCCAGCGTTTGTGACATAATTCAATCTTGTTTACTGCTTCGTTCTTGCCTCGATCTGCCCGGAGCGGGAGCCCAACAAATCGATGATCCGACATGCAGTCGTCGACCCCGCTGACAATATTTCACCAACGGCCAACAAACTACTCACGACCTCTGGTATCTTTTTCGCCACAACGGAAAACGACGCCTTAACGTCCGACATCCACTTTCATTTTGACGCCGGGGAGGAAATTGATGTAGATGTCCTCACACCTGCAATTGCGTCGAGAAATATTTTCTGTGGAGAAATTGGTCCTCGGAGCCATCGCGATGGACCTCGTGTCCATGGTCCTCGCTCCACTAATTGTACACTATGCGTGTTGTGTGCACTCGTAATGTATAATCTGATTCTAGTTTGTCTTACTGTCATGGTCCCCGCCAATATGGCCACTGTGTTAACTGTTCTACGATTTTAGGTGGGTTTTACATGGAACTGTAGTCTATATAATGCATAGTTGAAGTTGCGAACAAATAAAGTTGAAGGCAAGATCGTAAGAATTTCGCCTCTGAGTGCTTAACTGCCAAGTCAGTCCGTCGCTCACAACATCACTGCGAGGTATTTTGACGCCGGGGAGGAACCGGGAACTAGATGTGAAGTTGCCACATCCTAGTGATTCTCTCGCCATTCCGTGAGCCCTACTTCCATCGTCGGCATCACCTGATTGCGGATGCGAGGCGTAGAGCTTGCTCGTCTTTAGCGCCATCATGCACCGAGCCCAATTCCGCCCTCTTCCCCATCCACATGTCCGCTAATTGTTGCCTCTAATCCGCCATGGCTCTGACGGGATTCCCTTCCCAATTTCATACTGTTTTGTCCGCTTATCTGACATTCATCTTCGTCGAGGGGAGAAGTGTGTCCAAGTCGCACGTATGCCACCGATGTGCCGCGCAACAGTGCAGGGGGGTTGGCGATTTTAAGCACTCTTGTGTACTGTACGCCGACATACCCGGTATCTTCATCCTCATATCTTGCGCTCTCATGCGATATGGTCGCTGCAGGACGTTAGAGAGATAAGTAGAGTTTGTGAGCAATACAAGACACAATAAATTTCAAATGGCCAAACCAAGTTCGATTACGGTAACGGTACAGCAAAAAAATTGAATGAAAGGAGATGAATTATTTTGCGAAGATCGCCTCAAAAACATTGACAGGGCGGGCTGTAGGAACAAGGTAGAAAAAGAATGGGTGCTCTTTTCGG